TAATCTACCTCGAACAATGGAACTGGAAGAAACCCAGTTTGTAAAGACAAATGGTCATCGAGGGATACGTCTTTCAATCCATGAGACGAGGGTACTCTAGTTATATACCTAGAACCCCGACAGGACCCCTAGGAAAAACGAAACAAAATGAAACAAACACTATTTGGGGTCGGCGTTTGCTGGTCCACAAGAAGGTCACTCAGGTTCTAGTTAGATCTCGAGCTCGATCTCATGCTGCCACGCTCACGTGCCTTCAGAAGCTCAGAAAAACCAACGAACGCACCCTCCGTCTTCGTCTTCCGCTGAAACGTCGGTCAAATCGCCTTCGCTGGAGGTCTTCTGGTTCAACCTCTCCATCCTCCAAATGAATGGCCTGCGGGGCCTCAGAATCTTGAACTGCAAGACATGTATATGAGTTAGCGTCAAAAATATATGCTTGGAGTGTTTTCGTTTCACTTTTGTCAGTCCCCTATCGTTTTCCATGGTTTTGGATTTTGCAAGTATGTATACATAGGGGTATCGTTTTTTGTCAGTCCCCTATCGTTTTTCAAGGAAAATCACGAAAGCAACGCAGAGATGAAACGTCCCTTACTAAAGTGGTTGATGATAATTTTGAGGTTGCCTCATATGTTTCTTGAGTCTTCTCTTCACCTCCTTAGAAGCTTCTTCCTTTCAAGACATTGGGTCTCAATGAATGACCGCATAAAACTCCATCGCCACACTTTCCTAGAATCCATGCACTGAAATGGAAGTGGATGGCATGGCCCATGAAGGGAAGACACGGGAAAAACCATTGTCCGAATGTGCCATCGACGGGGTTGCTAACGACTTCCATCGTTATAGTCCCAGGGAGAGTATGTTTCGTGCTATATAAATTTGTTTCAATGAATGACATGTTCGTAAGTGGAGAAGTCTGCACCACCGGGAATTGGGGAAGGGTCCTGAAATCATGGCCAAAGACTCATGGCAACTTTGATCAGAAAACCTGGGTTATCTCTATCTCCCTCTGGAAAATCACATCTAAACATGACACCTTAGTATTAGAATAACAATTTTAAAACAAATGTGCACACTCTGCGTAGAGAACTGGGATTCTATTTGATGAACTTGCTTGAGTTTGTTCAGCATGCCATGCTGCAAGGTGTTGAAGGTGGTGCAGAATCCCTGCGACAAACAGGATTCTGCATGTTATCCACATATCTAGAACCACCTCAGGCCACCTTAGGGTGGTCACCAGGGCTCTTTAACAAGGACTTGAGATCTAGATCGAGCGCCACCCAACGGTGTTCTCACCGAGCCAGCGGTGTTCCTATCGCCGTCGTTTTTCTCTCACGCCTCTATCGTTGAGTTGTGGTCTGTCTGGCCAACCTCTTAAAAAGTACAGCAAATCCCAGTTATACCAATTTCAATAGCAAAACACGACCACTTGGGTGGTTGGTGCTCAAAAGTGGTGCCTCTGCTTCTACAACTGATGGTTTGTTGAGAACTGGCTTTGCTGTGGTCAAGGCCAGAGCTACGCAGGCTCATCCGCAGGGAATCCGGTGTGGTTCCCACGCCATGATTTCTTTCTCTCATGGGCCACGGCCCCGGGCATACTACACCTGCACGTTCAAAAACATGCGGAGATCTTTGACCCCGAGGAAGCTCTTGCACAGGTCGTACAGAAAGAACTGACCACCTCAGTGAAGATAGCACGTCGACTTACTGCTTGAGTCACTCGGTGAAGCAAATCAAAGACCAAATGGAATCAATGGGACACACACACACATTGTCCTGCACTCATGACTATATATACACGCTATCCAAACTATATAGATACGGACTTATCCTATCAAAATCGGGTCATGTCTTGCTTCTAGGCATGAACAACCTAATGGAGCTTCTCCCCGGTAGCGACGACTCCGAGGCTCCGACTCCGAGGCTCCGGCTCCGCGGGGCGCGCGTCCCCGGTCCGCCGAGGCACTGATGATGCAGGCGGCCCAAACGGAGCGGCTGCCGAGCCCCGCGAAGAAGCCACCGAGGCCCCGCTCGGCCCAGATCTCGCGGCCCGTGTCGAAGAAGAAGGCACGGCCTTCACTCCTTAGACCAACAGAGGTAGCCAGTGACCTGAACTAGGACCCGTGGTGCCCGACTAGGATGGTCTATAGGGTTCTTCAACCTCTGCTGGAAGAGCAGAAGTGGTTGGTGAGTGGCTGGAAAGAAATGGCCCAAGGACCGTGCAGGTGGCATGTTTAGTGGCATGTTGGCAGGGCTGCAGGGGCTAAGAAAGGGGTGGGAGTTGGGAAAAATGGCTGATGATTTCAAGGGCGCATGCACATGAAACAGATCTTTAAAATGAATCAAAGTCCAAAGAAGAAGCATGCTTGATGCCTGGAATGTGATACAACCACCGGTAACCACCGGATCTTCAACCTGATCAGAATCAGAGTCATTTTGCTTCACCATGCTTCACCCAAGTGAACTGGTGCAACAATAACTCTGAATTACGGGGGGGAACAGCAAGGAGCAAACGAACATTCTTATCCCTGGCAGATGGGCCTTTTCTGGCAGATTCAAAAAGTTATTCAATCCAAAGCCACATCCTCAACAGCTTGCAGCTTGTGAAATCCACCTGTGAATCCGTTCCCTGACTATGCCCATGAGCTTCCATGAGTGGAAAACCCCGTCGCTCAGTGACAGCTCAATTCCTTTGGTGCCCGGGGCCGGTTGGTTTGTTCCAGGTGTCTGATTCATTCGCGTCAGAATGGTATCAGCCGGCTGGGAGACGATCGAAGATGCGATGCCTGCCACAGCTCCAGACAAAAGAGACACCAAGAGCTGCGTCTCCACCTGCAAATCTGGATTCTGACGGTGCAAGCAAGCCGAACAAGCCGAGGTGTCCACCTGGTTTTGAGTGGGGTGTCCGGATGTTCGCCCAAACAGGTTTTGCAGGCAATCCACCTTCCCTGGATGGGTTTGAAGAAGGCACCCTGTATATGAGCCTAGAGCGTCACCAGCTTGCCTGCAGTCTGAATTTTCCTTACCCACTTCCTTACCCAAACGCTCCCAACAGTCCTTAAGCTTGGTCCCTCAAAACCTAGGGGTTTGAGACCGGGCCTGACCCTCCATATGAGGGTCCAGGGTCGCGTTTGGGTTGGTCCACTTGTCCTGGGCCTGGTGATGGATCAAGGGGATGGTTCTTGAGAACGGATCTGCAAGGTACTCCGAACACATACACCCAGGGACGCAGGGGGAGCTCAGCATTGAGAGCATTGAACCTATTGAACATGGAACCCACATGGTTCCGTGGCACCTCCTGTTTCATCCTTGCAGGGTGCTATCTACTTCCGAAGATAAAAAAATCAGGGGAGTGCAAGTGCTTGAGGAACTCCATGCCGCTTCGGCCTTAAAAGAGGGGAAGAGATGGCACCGTAGCAGCTCCCTTCTAACCACTAGCACCCCGTAAGAATCCGACCGGGCCCTCCATGGCAGGGGTCGGACCCGAAGGAAAAACGCGAGCGGTGTTGCTGGCTGTTAAGGGGCCCGGATTCTGAGGGAAGACCGTGACCAAATACACAAAAAAAGGACCGGATAACCGCACATATGAGACATAGAAAAGAAGAACCCCACACTAAGATGTGGGGAAAAATAACAGATCGTATCATCTGACTCGATCCATTTTGATTCATCCCTCGATTCGCCGCCTTTTCCGCCAGCACCGGCTGCAAATCGAAGACGAAGTCTGCGAAGTAGTCGAAGACCAGAAATTTCATCATGCCAAAGAGCACCTGACGTACCAGCAATGTACTGAGCCCATCGTAGAAGACCCCGGGGCCATCTTGCTCGCTGATGACCTGGATCACCTGCGTGAACCGGACGCAAAGACGTCGAAAGCGATTTCAGCCGAGCAATTTTCAGCACCCAAGAGCGAAGCGAAACTGGAGGGTGACCAGTGGGGATTCCAACATCATCATCTAGTCGGTTGGAGCAAAGCCTAGGGATCCACACCAAAAACACCATACCGACCTGCTTCGGTAGTATAGTTATACAAAAAAAAAGGAAACAACCCCTGCCTGTTCGAGTTTGATGGCAAAAATTGTCCCACCACACCTCCTGCTTGCTTTGAGCTTGATCGCACTTCAAGCCTTCCCACCGTTCCTGTCGGACCGTCCAAACGCCCCTCCCGTCGGTCTGTCTGGCCGCGAGCCCGCGACCGGCGCGACCGCCTCGCCTTGAGTAGGCCCAAGGAATTGAGCTCCGGATCTGCCACCATGCGGATCCGACAGGCCTCCGCAGGGCACACGCCAAAGCAAGCAAAGACCTCAGACCCAGAGGGAAGAAGAAGACGTGGAAAAACCCCTAGGGCTCAGAACCCCATATCCTCAGGTTCGGTGGGCACATACCCCCCTGGCACCCACCCTAACCACCGAACCTCAGGAGGTAGGCCAGGAGCGCTAGGGTAACTCTGAACAAGTCCCATGGATAGGCTTGGGGATGGGGGAATGGATGCGGGGTGCACTAAGGCTGTAGGGTGAGGCCACCAAGTGGGAGGACAATAGTCATGGTGGAAATCCTGATGCCCCACCCAAAGTGAGCAACTCCCCAGAAGCGACCCGTTCGGCCCCGAATCCTCGGGTCTGGGGTCGGACAGGGTCTCAAATCCCCATTGGTTTTGAGGGACCAGTCGGGCTGTGTTTGGAGCGTCTGGGTCATAGAAAGCAAAAGATTGCAACCCCATTTCCTTGGCCAAGTGCAGGCACAAGACATGCAAAGAGGGACGTCGTTCAAGAGATTTGTCCTACAACCGCTTGGAGGCCGCTTCTGGGTTCTTCCTAATTGGACAGCAGCATGTAATGTATCAGCTCATAGGTGCAAACGATCTTCCTCCAACGTGCCGATTCCGGCGATTCGGGTGCCGATCCTGCCGTGCAGGTTGCTGTGGCCACAGCTCCGCTGAGCAAGACCAGCAACACTCGAAGCTCCTCCTGGGGGAAGAGCGACAAGAACCTGGGAAGAGCGGGCCTGAATTAGAGCGTTCAAAGTGGATGGGATGGCGATTGAAGCATGAATGTGTTCTTTTTCCTTGTTCGGTGGCTGACTGCCACTGGTTTCTGCTTTTGTTGGTGATTCTATTTGGTTGTCGGGTTTCGTTGGTTTTGTCGGGCAAGGGATCAAAAAAAAAATAAAAATGCATCAAAAAACAAATATAATTCAGGGTATCAAGAAAAAAACAAAAATGAATCAATAAAAAAATAAACGGACCCAAACGAGTGGAGGGAAGCGCAATAGTCCAACTCGAAGCAGTGATCAAAAGAAAAACAAAAACGCATCAAAAAAAAACAAAAACTAAATCAACCTACACGGATACCTTGGATGGTCCTGTAGGGCCCTTGGGTAGAGACCAACCTATCCACCACAACGGTCGGCCTCTGCCCTCTGTGTTCGGTTCGAAATTGCCAAGAATTCAAAAGATAAGGTGTTTCAGGTTTTGGAGATTCAAGAGGTCACGGTTGAGAAGCAGGACGCCTACATCTACAAAGATCCAAAGTCCTCGACATCCAGACAGATCTAGTGTAAAGGTGTAGAGTCTAGAGACCCACAAAATCTTGCAGAGGTTCAGATCCAGCTCTCCCAAAATTTTACTGGCGTGCTAGAATGGAATGGCTTTCTGCCCTCTAACCTTTACTACTGTACATTCGGGTGGCTTACAGAAGGGCGGCGCCGCAGCCGCGCACACGGATTCAACTCAACTGCGCACACACATTTTATCGGCACTTGTGCCTCATCTGCGCACACACTTGTTAACTCAGCGTGCGCACACCCCACCATGGGGAGTCAAGTGCGCACACAGGCCCTTTCCCGAATGTTGCTGCGTATTCCAAATCTTACCCTGCGTTGCTCACTTAAAAGGGTAGTCAACTTGGAATAGCCACTTCCTTGTCTATTTTTGTTACTCTCCAGTGGCTCACCAAGGGGTGAGTCAACTTGGAATGAGCACTTCCTTCTCTAAATTTTACCCCTGCATTGCCCACAAAGGGTGAGTCAAGTTGAAGTGGCAACATCCTTCTCTAAATTTTACCCTCGGGTGGCTCACCAAAGGGTGAGTCAACTTGGAAGGGCAACGTCCTTCTCTAAATTTTTCTCCCTGCATGGCCCACAAAAGGGTGAGTCAAGTTGAAATGGCAACATTCTTCTCTAAATTTTACCCCTGCATGGCCCACAAAAGGGTGAGTCAACTTGGCATGGCCAGTTCCCTCTCTAAATTTTACCCTCCAGTGGCTCACCAAAGGGTGAGTCAACTTGGAATGACCTCTTCCTTTTCTAAATTTTACCCTGCCCACAAAAGGGTGAGTCAAGTTGAAATGGCAACTTCTTTTCTAAATTCTACCCTCGGGTGGCTCACCAAAGGGTGAGTCAACTTGGAATGACCACTTCCTTCTCTAAATTTTACCCCTGCATGGCCACAAAAGGGTGAGTCAAGTTGAAATGGCAACATCCTTCTCTAATTTTTAGCCTCGGGTGGCCCACTAAAGGGTGAGTCAACTTGGAAGGGCCACATCCTTCTCTAAATTTTTCCCCTGCATGGCCCACAAAAAGTTGAAATGGCAACATCCTTCTCTAATTTTTAACCTCGGGTGGCTCACAAAAGGGTGAGTCAAGTTGAAATGGCAACATCCTTCTCTAAATTTTACCCCTGCAAGGCCCACAAAAGGGTGAGTCAACTCGGCATGGCCGCTTCCCTCTCTAAATTTTACCCCTGCATTGGCCACAAAAGGGTGAGTCAAGTTGGAGTGACCACTTCCTTTTCAAAATTTTACCCTGTGCACAAAAGGGTGAGTCAAGTTGAAATGGCAACATCCTTCTCCAAATTTTAGCCTCGGGTGGCGCAACAAAGGGTGAGTCAACTTGCAGCTTTCCTGGCCACTGCAGGCAGCACAGGTCCGTAAGCTGGCCACCTGCAGCAGCACAGTGCTCACAACACTCTGGCCACCTCCAGCAGCACAGCGCTGACGACACTGGCCACTGCAGGCAGCACAGCTCCGTAAGCTGGACATCCAAAGGCCTCGACATCCAGACAGATCTGGAGTGTAGAGGTGTAGAGTCTAGAGACCCACAAAATCTTGCAGAGGTTCAGATCCAGAGACCAGGGGAACAGAGGACCAAAGGACCAGGGGCCTTGCGGTCGCCTCACCTCTTCAAAATTTTACTGGCGTGCTAGAATGGAATGGCTTTCTGCGCTCTAAACTTTACTACTGTACATTCGGGTGGCTCACAGAAGGGCGGCGCCGCATATTTTATCAGCACTTGTGCCTCATCTGCGCACACACTTGTTGACTCAGCGTGCACACACCCCATCGGGGGGAATCAAGTGCGCACACAGGCCCTTTCCCGAATGAATGTTGCTGCGTATTCCAAATTTCACCCCTGCATTGCTCACTTAAAAGGGTAGTCAACTTGGAATGGCCACTTCCTTCTCTATTTTTTCCCTCCAGTGGCTCACCAAGGGGTGAGTCAACTTGGAATGAGCACTTCCTTCTCTAAAATTTACCCCTGCGTTGCCCAAAAAAGGGTGAGTCAAGTTGAAATGGCAACATCCTTCTCTAAACTTTACCCTCGGGTGGCTCACCAAAGGGTGAGTCAACTTGGAAGGGCAACATTCTTCTCTAAATTGATCCCCCTGCATGGCCCACAAAAGGGTGAGTCAAGTTGAAATGGCAACATCTTTCTCTAAATTTTACCCCTGCATGGCCCACAAAAGGGTGAGTCAACTTGGCATGGTCACTTCCCTCTCTAAATTTTACCCTCCAGTGGCTCAACAAAGGGCGAGTCAACTTGGAATGACCACTTCCTTTTCTAAACTTTACCCTGCCCACAAAAGGGTGAGTCAAGTTGAAATGGCAACATCCTTCTCTCAATTTTACCCCTGCGTGGCCCACAAAAGGGTGGGTCAACTCGGCATGGCCGCTTCCCTCTCTAAATTTTACCCCTGCATTGGCCACAAAAGGATGAGTCAAGTTGGAGTGACCACTTCCTTCTCATAATTTTACCCTGTGCGCCAAAGGGTGAGTCAAGTTGAAATGGCAACATTCTTCTCCAAATTTTACCCTCGGGTGGCGCAACAAAGGGTGAGTCAACTTGCAGCTTTCCTGGCCACTGCAGGCAGCACAGGTCCGTAAGCTGGCTCGCTGAGTAGCTGGCCAAATGGGGGATAGAACAGGAGTTCAAAAGTGGTCCTTGTTGTTGTGTGTGTTTTTCGGGAGATGCATCAAAAAATGCATTAACATAGAATACATAGATGCATCAAAAAATGCATTAACATAGAATACATGACAACACTTGCCATTGCAGGCAGCACAGCTCCGCAAGCGGGCCACCTACAAAAGCCATCGAAAACCAAAGGCAAAAGCCACCAAAACCCAAGAGCCACCGAAAGCGAACCTTCCTTCCTGCCCTGCTGCCTTTCTTCCTTCCATCCATCCTTCCTTGCTTCCTTGCTTCCTTGCTTCCTTCCTTCCTTCCTTCCGTCCTGGCTTCGTACCTTCCTTCCTTCCTTCCTTCCTTCCTTGCCTTCTTGCCTTTCTTTGTTTCTTTTCTTTATTTTTTTATTGATGCATTTTTATTTTTTTCTTGATGCATTTATATTTTTTTATTGATGCATTTATATTTCTTTTTTGATGCGTCTCCCGGTTTTGTCGCTTCGGAGTTTTTGATCTTAGTGTAATTAATTGGCTGGGTTGACGTTGGTTGGGTTGAGTTGACATTGGTTGCTTGGTTGCTTGGTTGGATGGCTGGTTGGCTGGCTGGGTGGGTGGTTGGCTGGTTGGCTGGCTGGCTGGTCGGCTGGTTGGCTGGTTGGCTGGCTGGCTGGCTGGTTGGCTGGCTGGCTGGTTGGCTGGTTGGTTGGTTGCATGCTGGTGGGTAGCCAAGTCTTCCATGAGATGATTCCTTCAAGTCGAATCTGGGAAGAGTGGATGCATGTTCTAGTGCCCTCCTGCGGGTCCGAGATTTTCTACATGTTGGATTGAAGTCTGAATCAAAGAACAGGTTTACGGTGAGCAATCACACACGATAGCACCACATGATGTTCCTGTTTGGGTTCATACACGGCCTGAACCGCTGAATTACATAGATGTTAAAAACACATGTGCGATCATTCATGTATATTCAACCATAACTCCCTAGGGCAGGGAGTTCAAGGATGGATTTCAGCAGGGGGTCCGGGGTTGGGAGGCGCTTCGACTGACCGCCCGAGGCGACCCCAAACAAACCGAGGCGACGGTTTCTGCATTGGCCCAAGCAGCAAACGCTTGAAGAACTCGTAGCCAGGATAGACTGTGATGCCATACCAAAGGTATCCTGAAGGACCAAGCCGTCGTTTGGGTTCCAAACAATCATCAATCAGGGTGGGTTTGGTAGAGATGTCCTATAGCCGGAAAGCTGAAGGATTGAACATCACTCCCATCCTAAGTTAACAGAATGACAGTAACGTGACAAGAAATGGTTTCTTAATTTGCCTTGCATTGCGGCAAAAAAAGGCAACCCGCTACCCCGATACTCTTGGGCAGTTTCAGTCTATGAATCTCCAACGTTCCGAACGGCACAAACCAATCTCAGCACTGGCAGTGCTATGGCTTAAAACAACATCTGATTCTGGACACAGGACCCTCCGTACCTTATAGAAGAATTGGGCATCCTATAGTATAGGAAAAACAGCAAGTCGTACCATACCATATCCATGTTCTGCGGGACGAACTGCTTCACTTAGGATCCCCAATCGCCCTGAAAAAGGTCTACGCATCTACGCGCACTTTAAGCGGGGGGAAAACGGCGGAGATCGCACGGCGGAGATTGTTCGTTCGAGGTGCCTAAGATGGTGGGCTCCCAACCAGCCAGAAGACCTCCAAGGCCTCCTCCAAGGCCCTCTTCTTGATAGATCTCTTGCATTCCAGAGAGCAAATTCGCATTCTTAAAGCGACCTGGCCGAAAAGTTAGAACATGTTAGACCTGAACACGCTGTTACACGGGCGAACCTCGTGTGTTTGTGTGTGGAGGTCCTGGTTGGTGGTTTCACTTGAAAGCATATTAATCAGTGGGTTCATCCCAAGTAGAGCTTCATAAACATATCCGAAACCACCACCTAGGACCTAGCCTACTTGAAGGATGAACATCTCAATGGCCAACAATAAAACAAAACATCTCAAGTTGTGTGCATTTCCACTCAAGGATCTTCGATTCCAACCGGACTGGTGGTTGCCTTCTCCCTCCAGTCCCAGTCCCAACAGTTGCGCTGAAAAGAAACCCACAACCGCTCCACCAAAACGAGAAAAACAAAAACACAAGGCCCTGGTTCTTCAAAGTGATCGTACTTAATAACATGGTTGGTTCGGTCGCTTAAGCCTCCGAGTAGGGTCACCTAAGCTGGAACCTTCAAGAAGCAGGTCACGAAGGTTAAGAAGCGAAGACCACGAATTCCGGCTCATCCGATGTTCTGGGAGTTGGACTATCTATACCGTCGCCCGAAGGATGAAGGCCATGCTCAGCATGTCGCATGTGTCCTGAAGTTTCTTCGTGCGAGGCGAGGCCTACTTTCGGAAGACCGGTACGAGCTGCCTGGGCTCGTCTGCAGTCGGGTCTTCACCACATCCAATGGGATCACCAAGGAGTGGGTCAAAGAGCAGCCGAAGGCGCCCGAAAGCGCCTGCGGGCGATGTCGCGCGCTTTCAACGGACGGACGGAAGGGGGTAGGACGGCAGCAGTGGTGGAGTAGAGTGGAGTAGCTTAGTAATCCCTGGGAGTCAAAGACCATAAACAGAATGGTCTGACTTTAGGTGACCCGAGTTCAGGAATTTCCTTTACTTCCAGCCGGTCAAAATATAGTCGAACTGGACTTCTATAGGGTAATAGATGGTAATAGTAGCTTTGTTTAAAGGAAAAAACGCAAACGTATAATATATGATGACTGGCATGTCAATGCATGTCATAATATCCGCAATCACTTCCACCATAGACATATCATAGATCGTAGGTTCGGGATGTTTGATTGTGTAGGACACATAGGTGCTCACAACCTTTCAGCAAAGGTTTCACACAGACTGGAACTACCAAACAATCGTTCACACATGGGGCATGGCGTTATACCAAGTTTCAATACCGAGCTCCAAACGTCGATGCGCGGACGCCAACAAACAATTGATTTTGCTGGTGCACTCATATCAGTCTCATTTGGCACCAGGACCAACCCAAACACATCTTGTGTGCCATCTTGCAGGGAGGCACTTGGTAGTGGATGATGCTTGAGCGGTGACATCAACATGAGCCTCGAACCACTGGCTTGCCAACCGACTTGTCCTACCAAACACCACGGCCAAGTAACAAAAAGCGCATAGTCTTGCCTCGGCACAGGCAAAACACATCTCTGAACAGGAAACAACACCTTTCGCACCTTTGGGTTCTCAACAAACAGTCTGATTCTCAACCCCAGTCTTGCCCGCGTCTGGTGCGAGGAACTCCCTCAAGCTGCTGAAAAACGACAGCACCGGCTTGCAGTCTCCTTTCACAGTGTCCGATACCACCCCACCTTGTCAAACCAACACCACCAAGTAAGGACCTCTTCATGCTCCAACATGCACGGGGCCTCTGTCGAAGGAACAACTATACGTACTATATAGTGGGCACTGGCATTTTGGCAGGGTTCCCTGTGGCAAGCTTCAAGCGAACTCCAAACCCTGGTGTAGGTAGTAATGTAAAATGAGTATTGACGCCCTTAATTGTAATAATCAATACTCATGTCTTCCAGAAAATCCAAATCAAATGTGATTTAATATTCGTCCAAGATGATCCACAAAATTAGCCCATATTATAGTACTGTATTCAGTTGATCCATAGTCCATTTTGCATTTAGAGCAAAATGACAGCAACATGAAAGCGAAAGCAAGCTAAAGCAGAATGAAAGCAAACAAAAGCAACATGAAAGCAAATCAATTCCAAAGGATCTGCAACCAAATACGGATCTCACATTAGTCTATTCTGTTCATGTTTCCCCAGTTTTGACCCAAAGCTATTTGGTGCCATTGTTCTACATCTGCTACTGGGTATCCCACAGATTAATCGTGCTCAAGCATGCTGCATGTTTGCACCGTTCACCGGGGCTGCGGGGCTGGCCACAAGGGTCCTGAACCTGAACAAGTGGGAAGGGGCTGGTTCCGGCCAGGTGACCCTGTTTCAGGAAGGTGCTGGAAAGAAAAGTGAAGCCTGAAAGTTCTCAAAGTCCTATATATGCACTTGTTATATGCTGCCTTCGCGACTCGCCTTCGCGAACCTTTTTAGCATGGAACTCAAAGTGATTAAACAGGCCAAAACTTGCCTACGCAAATTGCCTTCGCGAAAAACAAAGTGGAGCATACGCAATTTGGCTTCGCGTGCCTTCGCGCGTGCACAAAACTGTGAGAATTGGCTTAGCGGGCTACAATGCAGTTCCACTTTTATATACCTTTGCATGCCAATAAAAAAACGTTGTTCACTGCGGTTTTCACATGAGAATGCTCTTCACGCAGCCTTCTGCCTGTCCATTGGTCTAGAGAGGTCACTGGAGATTTTGTTCCTTCAAGCTACCTCTTGCATTCAATACTCCATAAGCTTGCGACTGCCCTGGTTCCAAGTTCTTGGCCTGTTCTGAGACTCTGCTGGCCTGAACGCCCATCTGCTCCCGGGAGCACATCGGACCGACACACAACAGTCCAACCAAGAAAACGGTCTGAAACCGAAGCAAGGACGCTACGAACGGGGCTCCTGGCCTTCGAATACTTAGAACATTAGCATCTAAAACCTTCCATGTGTAGCAAGAGAGGTTGAGAGACCAAACTAGGACCCTGTAGAGGACGGGCTAGAAGATCTATAAGTCTACAAGGCTGTTCAACCTCTCTTGGTCTCTTCCCCTCGGTTCCGCCTCTACCCTAAAAGTCCAGTCGACTCAAATTCATGATCTACATTTAAGGTGACCCGATGTCATCCATCTTCTTTACTTTTCTAGTCGGTGGAATCCGTGCAATCCATGTATACCCTAGGGCTCCAACTCCTGAGGTTCAGTTCTCAGGGTGGGCGCCAGGCGGGTTTAACCCCCAAACCTGAGGATATATGGAGCGTTCGAAACCCGAACGGGGGCCACAAAACAGCTCCGCGGGCTCCGCTCTCCGCTGACCCAAACTGGAAGGTTCGTCCCGGTGGCGGATTGAGCTGACGCTCCTTGGTGACGACCTCTGCGCCGCGCACACCGAAGACGCTGACGGCCGCACCTTGGTCCATCTCGTCGAAGGCGCCTGGGTGCTCATGCTGCGGCTCCGCAACCCGGATCCGATCCCCAAATAGATAGAAAAGTAGATCCCCACTAAAAATGTATTGAAAACCGTTATCTATGTGGGGATCATTATTTAAAAAACACTCATAAAGCTTATCTTGGATATGGGAACTTTCGGGGCTTGACCCATGAAATCAAGGGATTGACCTCTGGGAGGATGAGAACAAAACAGCATTAAAAAAACAACATCGCTTGAGTAAGGCCAATGCCATGGCACTCTTGTAAGGTTGGGCCTTCTGGAAGCCAGGGATCACCCACCTCAGAGATTCCAGGACGGGCCATTTTCAGCAAGGGATGGATGGTGCTGGGTACTGATAGTGCCTGGGGCTCCCAGAGTGGCAGGCGAGTCCAGCTGATATTTTTGTCCGGAGGCGACTGGGGGGGGGGCGTGGGAGGCTTGGTCATAAGATGGATTTGTGATGGGTCCGAGGGCAGGGTTGATGGTGGGTCACCGATGGTCACCGGTAGGGATGTATAAGGCGCCAATAGGAGTTGAGGCGGGCCAGAAACACACAATCAATAGAGTTTGCGTCTGATGGAGAGGGTATTGGAGAACCAATGGTCTTCTACATATGTCTACATGCAACTACAGGCATGTCGGCATTTCTGTCAACTTAGTCTTAGTAATTGTTTGGGTCATTGGGATCTTTCAAGCCTGTAGCCCTAACTCATACGGGCAGTCTGTGATTATTCTTTTTCACCAGCTGTGCCCGCCTGAGTTGCAAGAAATTTACTTCAGGTTCTTGGACGACTGCTCCTACAGACCTATATATATATGACACAGAGAAGCCATACAAAGCATTCGTGTAGTGTACGGGTTCGGCTCACTTCGGCTGGTGCAACACCAATGGACCAAAAAACATCAAGACTGCAATAACACAAGAACCTTATAATAGCATCTTATAGCCTTATAGCGCTCCTTTAAAACTGGTCTTTGAATGTCTTTGACCTTACTTCTTCGGTCTCCAACAAATCTTCCCTGCACCAGCCTCCTGTCGTCACATCTATCGCCTCCCCACGTTCCAGAAAACACGGCCACACCGCCGCTGTTTTCGTGGGTGTTCGACACGTCGCCCCCCCCACGTCTCTCCCCAAGAGGCCGCTGCAAGCCGCCGTTCCAGACGGGGAATTGGGTATTGGGCAGCAAGCGCGTGGGGTCCATCGCCAGGTAGTCCGACAAAGCGGGACTAAAGACCGCCTTGTTGCACCGGGCCACGCGGTTTGGAGGGGGGAAGAGGACACGCGAAGAACACCGGGTTGTGATAGTCGGTCAAGGAATCCAAAGGGAGGCAGTGGAGGAGCCACCGGTTTTTTTGGGATGCTTTTCGCTGTTTGTAGGGTATTTTAGGGTCCATGTATATGTAGGTATATAAGCAGCCCGACAGGTCCCTTAAAACCTTAACAATTTGAGACCCGGAAGGGGTGCGAGCCGAATGAGGCTCTCTTTTTATCCGCCCTCAGATCCACCTCACGTGCGATGAAGCGGGAAGAAAGACGTCGTTGCATGGTTGGTGGAATTGCTTGGGCTTTGATCCACCCGACTCCGACTCTCGGCTCTCGGCCAGGGTCGGACCTTCTCCAACCACCGTTTCACGCCGGGGGGGAAAGTCCGGGCCCGGTTCCCAAACCCTACCAGGGGCCCTCAAAACCATGAAAAAAAAAGGCTTTCACATGCAAAAACCATGTTTTTTTTCCTAGGGAAAGGGAAAACCATGTTTTGATGGTTTGCGGGGCCCTTGGTATGTGTTGCTTAACGGGGTCCGGATTCTTAGGGAACACGGGTCCAACCTTCCTAGGTCGACGCGGTGCGTCGTGGTGCGCCTGCAGGCGGTTGTCCAGCTGCAAAGAGCTCAACAGGCTGGACAGCAACTCCAGGGGCTGATCCTGGTTCCACCGGTCGTTCCACCGGTCGAGCTGGCCGCATGGAGGGACTGGGGCGTCGAAAGCAGGGAATGAGGGTGGCTGGAATTCAATAGAATCTCTATTGGGGGCTCATTCTTCCCTTAGGAACCTACGAGTCGCACCAGTCAGTTTTTCAAAAGGCCTCACCCTGCTACAACCACCTCTCTGGGGCCTGCGTTGGGGGTTTCCCTGGGTTTATGGGACGACATGCCAGTCCCACATGTCGACAGGGTGGTCTGTCTAGGTCTCCCCGCATGTCACCGGGCCACCGGTCGATTGTAACCATGTTCTGATACCAGTACCCTTACTGGTCTTTAATTGAGACTTCTTGGGCCAAGGTCCCACTCATCGACCCTTAGAGTGGGGTCCTCTACAAGGTTCAACATTCAAACATCCCAAAAAACAGTCCCGCAAGCGAACTCCACCATGTCGAACTCCACAGTCGAACTCTCGAACTCTGCTCTCGAACTGTTGAAAGCCCTGCCTTGCACCCCCCCCCCACACATGCGTGCCACTGACTCCGAGCCGTTTCCCTTGAAAAAAACAGGTCTTAACAGGTTACAGTAGCCAATCCACAAACAAGGTCAAAAGATTATCCAGGTAGGTCCAAGAACGTTCTCCGACCGGGTGGGTGGGTCCTCCAGCAAGGTAAAGGCCAAGGCCAACTGCCGTCGGCCTTCCTGGGTTTCCCCATAGCGGTCTACGAGCTTCTTCAGGAGCCCCGACTTGCGCCGGCCTTCCTCTTGATATCTTCCTGAGCTCAAAAATCAGCTGTCATGGCTGGGCTTCCTGTCATGTACTGAAAAACCAGACTCATGACCCAGGGAAGGATGGTGCGAGGACACCAGGTGCGACCTTGGTTCCGGGTTTCGCTGGTCATGCAAGGTGTGGGACTTACTGGTGTCCTTCTGGAGGGTCAGTAAAACTTCAAAACCATGAAAAATAAAGGTTGTCACATACAAAACACATGTTTTTTGCTAGGGAACACCTGGTTTTTGATGGTTTATGGGGCCCCTGGTAGCAAGTCACTTCAGCAAGTTGAAGTCAACAGCAACAGAATCAACACGAATGGATCATTGGAGGGTCCAATGACCTGCTGTCTTTTGAGTTGACGCACTTGGGATGTTAACTGAAAGACTGTTGTATTCACCAGACAGTAAGTGCCCCTTTGTGCGTACATCCACGCTATGTTTGCCTGATGGCTAGCAAACCCCCAGGTTCATACATGTCGGGTCTCCTTCAAACAAGTTGAAATATCTTCACTAGCATACACACTGTTTGGGAATTGGTCGGGAATGTGTGAGAACATCCACAACTCACACCATCACCAACTGCCTCTCCATCCAAACACCACCTTTTCTCAGCCTGGAACTATACATATAGATGCAGCCATAACAACATAACAATCTATAGGGCCGATATTATCTGATATGATGAACTAGGTCTTATATCTCATTGTCAACCAATCAATGCAGTATCGTCACTTCATCCGAAGCTGGCACGTCGACCACCACCATCATGGCCCTTCCGACGTCCGAAGCGACGTCGTTCCTCGTCCTGACGTCCTTGGTCTCGGCCCGGGCGTCTCAAACCAATCTCCACGCTGGCCGCGTAGTCCGCGAAGACGTCCCGCAGCTTGGCGGCCCGCTGCTGCTGCCAGCGCTGCTGCTCCACGGCGCTGGCGGCGCGCGCGGGCAGCGTGGCGTCCACGGTGGGGACGACCTCCCGGTGCCACCTGGGGGTCGAGTGAAGGGCTGGCAGAGAGGGAGTCCAGGAGTTTTTCAGGTTGCTTGGAGGTGAATCTGCGCCAAGTCCAGATGCCTAGGACTCTGTTGAAACTGAATCTGCGCTGAACAGGGAGCCCGTGCTACAATGTGATCATATCATGTGATATCTTGAGTCTATTTCTACTACCAGTAACAGTGGATGATCATGGTTAGTAAGGGCCTTTTAATACTTTGTTTATATATATAATTATATATATACTGACTGTTGCAGGTAATATCAAGTACTGTAATAGGACGGACCCAAGTGATATCATATGGGCGTGATTGGGTCTGCAATAGGGAGAGACCCCCAAACCAATGGTTGGATCTATTCTTCCAGGGAGCTCTCCCAATGTAAAAATACACACCCACCACTGACACCCACCTAGCACTTCCTGTCCAGGTGCGGAGTAGGAGACCTGGTCTCGGTCGGATCAGGTCCGGTCCCCCACAGCTATAGGAGGCGTCAAGACACCACGCAGCAGAGCCTTGATCATAGTTCAGCAAAATCCGCGCGAGGTACACGATGAAGTCCACAGACCATTGCTTGTCAGACTCGAAACGTTCGAAAATCTCTTCAGTCTGTGGCTCCTGAGCTTTCTCAGTCTGGGCTGCGCAGCTCAGTCTCGGTGGCAGCTCAGTCTGGGCCTTCCACGTTTGAAAGCCGCAGCCGCTCGTGCTTGTGACGCTCATGCTCCGTCTCAGTGTCTAGGCCCGACTGATTGGTGCCAGTCTGAGCACTGACTGGAGTGATCTCAAGTTTATGAGAAACATGTTGCAAAAGGAATGCAAAAAGGGAAGCTGTCTGAAGATTCTTGTCGACATGTCCAACGTATTTTGGTCAGTCTGTCTGTGATCAACAGCAGTGGTAAACACCATTCGCATGACAAAAAGGTGTTTCACATGTCACAAAGGCTGTGGGAACATACGGGAACATATCAAAGTCCTCATCAATGGGCAGCCAGGATAGTCCCAACCTTGAAACAGCAGGAAGCGCAGTCACAAGTAACTCCTCCTTAAGTGGCTATAAAGTAATTAGGCTCGATCATGCTTGATGAACCTTCAGTGCAAAGCACGGTGGCTTCAGCTCCATGGTCCATGTCTCAAAAACAAGGCTGTTGCTGGCCAGTCCTGTGAGCCACCCCCCACCCCTTCGGCCGAAAAAAACGCCACTGCCCAACGCGGATGGCGGGTGCCCCTGGAGGAGTCGGACATGGTCTTCCGCACTGGTCAGGGGTTCTGGGGTCTCACCAATCCCTATCTATACACGACGATCCCATGGGACTGCCGGAACCATAGACGATTTCCTGCCCCATGGACCGAACTCTCCGGTTTTTTTCCGTCTCTCGGCAGATCCCAGACATCGTGGTGGTGTCTGGGCTAGGTTTGTTGAGCAAAGGTGGGTCCTTCCAGCAGAGGTGGGTCAGAACCCGAACTAGACTATCCTATAGGTACTTCGTGGTACTTCTGGTTGGTTGAGGGTGAGTTGTCACACCTCCAAGGAACGTCTGATTCTCGGCCGAGGCCGCCGAGGGGAGCTCAGCCTGGAGCCGACGCCGAGGTCCGGCGTGGCAGGGCGCCATGGCGGGGGATCGGAGGTCTTCCTTTTGTCCTTCTAGGCTAGCTCTGGATAGGAAAGACCAGCACAAAGCACCTCTGGCAAATGACATGCTCGACTTCAGTGTATTTAGTGTTGTGGAATATGTTCTCCTTGTAGCCGATGCGGGGTCATAACCTGCAAATCCTAGAGCCATATAGAACCGAACCATACGCCTCTGCATAACAAAAACGGCCCGCCTAATGCCATTCCTTAGCCTGAAAACCTCACTTCAACGAAAGGCAACGTCTCAAAAACCGCGCATGGTTTGATATGATGGTTTCAATGCCAAGAAAATAGGAGGCTCCCTTGGCTTCAATCATCTCAAGTTTGAGTTGAACATCCAACTCCCTGATTCCTGACCCAAACACCATGGACTCCAAGCAGCTGCCGCCACCAGCGCAGCAGCCACCTCCCGCCGGGAGGCCGCGCGCAGCACAGACCGGGCACCTCCCCGCCCGCGCGGTCGGGAGCCCGTGCGGCGCGCGACGTGGGCGCTGGCGGTGAGCGCCTGGAAGAAGGGGTGCCGAGTCCCAGTCGTGAGTCCGAACATGGAAGACATGTGATGCAATGTGGTGAAACGGCTATGCACGTGAGCCGGTGAAGCATGCACCCAAATGGTCCAAATGAGGAATGGTATACAGATGCTATTATTTGGCAAATTGGGCAAGGTGTGCTAAATGAACTGCGTGCTTGTTCATCTTCAGCTCAAGGCTGATGCAATGACCCGGGTGACCCACTAGTGACCAACTTGGTTTGATGGCCATGCACCGGAAAGGCCCTGTCAAAGACCCGAAGCAGTCACCTGTGGCGGTCACATGGTGGTTGCACCACAAGCACGCGACACACAAATATGCACCGAGGAGGTTATAGGTGGGAGGTTTTTTGTTTCGAACATCAGATCATTTGATAGACGTGGTTTCACTCAGCACCCCTTAGCGGCCATTGATTTGAAGGAGACAAAGGAAGCACGCATTTACCATAAAATGACCTCCCCCAAGGTTAAATCTACTCATCAGTGAGGCTCGAAAGCATTGAATTTGGCCCTTTGAAGGAGCATGAAAGAATAACAGAAACAACAACACCGAATCATCACCCAAACCTCTGTAAAATCACACCCAACCCCAGCAAGCAAGGAAAGCATGAAACGTTTTAGAGGGGCGACGACGACCCATGGCTATCAAAAATATGACCCACTGCCACTGGTCAGAATCCTGGAAACCATAAACAGTTCTTACATCAACGACAACATGAGATTTAGTTGGAACTGTCCGACCAGGACCTGAAAGTTCACTTAATTACCAATCTTGTGACTTGGTCACGGGGAACGTCGAAGAACTCAACTTCTGCCCAAGTCACGCAAAGCGGCAACGCATAGCCGCACCCCTTCAGCCACGGCAGGGAGCCCCGTCTCTCGTTCTGCTCCCACACAGGACGGTGCGAGGGCGCAGAACGAGTACGCGTGGCCGGCGCGGCCAGCGCGGGCGGGACGAAGGGGTCCGAGTTGAAAATTTCGGACATGGCGGGCGTTTGAACCAAAATTGTCTGACAGTTGAGCGAGGATTCTCTGCTGTCGACCGCTTTGGGGGACCCACTTGTAAGCAACTGGTCGACCGTGCGGAGGGTTGTTGATGTTTTGGTGAAGGGGGATTCAACACCAAGCATTGCCAGGCATTGTGTTGTTTTGACGACCCATCATCGCAAGAGCTATCTACATCTGCATCATCTGCCCGCAAGCTAACCAAGTACAGTAGTTTCAGAGTAGATGGCACAATCCCGAAAAGGTGGTTTATATATGGACCCCCATAAAGGACATCTTTAGGTTTGTGCCAGATTCTCTCTGAGACCACTGTATTGTAATATATGTTCTGGTCACCTCTTAAACAGGAACCTCCCAACAGCGCAAGGAGTTCTCGTTCACGACCTGCTCAGGACTTGACTTCCACAGGCTCGCTGCACATGTGGAAGACCTGGAAGCGAGAAAAAAAGCGATTTTGGAGGACAAGTTTTGCCTCTGCCACGAACCCTGAATCGTCTGGGTCCTGCCCAGATTGACACATCGATCTGCCCGAAATGTATATCACTGCATATCCGTATATAGTAGTATACAGTGAATATAGTGATCTGCATTGGGATGTCAAGTCATAATGAAGCCATTGCTTGGCTGTGTCATGCTATGTCCTTAAAGTTAAAGAAACGGGCCACAACATCTATGTTGTGCTTGAAGAAACGGGCCTGGTTGGAATATTAATATATAGAGAGAGATCAGATCCCGTGTCTATCCGCAACTCAACTTCCGGAGGCTACACCAAGACTTCCCTTCTAATAAAGCATCGCCCAGAGTTCCAACACAATAGCAGCACGTTAAAGGATGTTCTCTTGAAGAACTCCTGCGCCACCTCAGAACAAACATCCCAATCTTGCGAGTTCCAGAATTCTAGTGGGAGGGTCAGGTCGATCATCTGAGGCTCTAGGGCTGTGACTTCAGGCCCTGTCGCTACCTGGGCAAGGTCCGCAAGACATGTCGGCGCCTCAAACTGACTTCACTTCACCTGACTTCACTACTTGCAGCACTGGCTGCACATTCTATCTTCACGTGCCAGAATGAGGAGACCCGACCACGGGCTCCAACCACCCCCTCAACATGTTCAGGGATCCAATCGTATACCTTCCCAGAAACGGACGGTGATGTCTTCGACACCGGCAAATAAGCCGGTGCCACCACGTCGGGTCCAGTCGTACCAGTCGGATAGATTGACGAACAAAAACACCGGCTCCGGCTCAAAACATAGACCCAAATCCACCTGAGGCGGAGTGGGAGACCCTTCGAGGCGCTTGGCCTTCGTTCCTTCCTCGTTTCGTTCCACGCGCCCATCTTCGCGACCGACCCAAATCCCTCAGGCAGACTATGGCGGACGAAGGGAATGAGGGAATGAACCACCCCTGTAGATACTTCAGGATCCATTCCCGTATTCCTTACTAAGTGCCAGTATTGGATACGTCAGGAGTTTCTCACCAATCCCTATAGGCTTTAAGGGACCTGTCGGGCGGCGAGTGAAGGGGGGTCGTTCCACCACCTGCGTCGCTCCATGTCGTCTCGTCTCACGGAGCTGGTCTCGCTGCGGGTCGGAGGAGACCTGAGGCTCGAACCACCTCGCGTTCCTCTCCTCCATAGGCCGCTGCCTCGGTGGATCGTAGTACGCCCGGCGTACGCACGCACAGGTGCGGGGGTGCAACACACACACACCAACACAAAAGGTGACATATATGTGACATATGTGTTGGGTACTGTGTTGGGTAGATTGCATGCATGATGGTTAGTAAAGGCATGTCTCAAAAATGGTGACCTAGAGGTGATACTTGACCGACTGTTACAGGTTTACTAGGACACAGCCTCTACTTGATACCGTAGGACACAACAATGCGCCCTTTTGAGATCTACTCACTGCCTCCTCAAACAAATCTCGCCCACGGATTGTTCCTAAACTGTGGGCTACAAGTCACCGTCAGGATCTAATTAGAAAACATCTGGAGAACCACATCTGGTTGGAAGGCTATGGCTATCGATACTTTTGACCTGACAAACTGTCACTGACTCAACCAGGTCCACTTGGGCCTTTCATGGCCTTTCCAACCCTAGCCATGACAGTCCCTAGAAATCCAAGTACCTTCTTAGAAGGTACTTGGATCCCTAGGTACTGATGCCAGGTGGTCCTACCATCTCTGCCATCCATGCGAAGCAACGTGCCCGGTCCTTGGAACGACTGATGTTGCTGACCTGCATGGTTCTTTTTTATCCTTTGTGCGAAGCCTGAAAGGTTTGACCCACATCTCCCCAACAGCTCGACAACTCCATATAACGTCCGTGACAAAACTAACCTCCTCCACGCTGTGCGACGTTGTTGTGGAGCTCATGGCTGGTCATCTTCAATCCCTCGCAAAGCTTCTGAAGCTCCTCCCATCGCGACCGTTCACCACACGCCACGGTCGCGACCCTTCACGACCGTCGAGAGCGAACCCGGAGAAAATCCGCCGCGGTTGCTGTGGCGGGTGACGGTGGGACTGCCCGGCAGGTCGCGGATGGTCGTCGGGATTGAAGAACCAAACTTCCAGCATCTTCCAGCGGAGGTTGAAGTAAGTAATTAGTAGGGGCTTGCAACAGCACCACAGCATTCCGCTGTGATCCTGCTCACCCGTTGTGTTTCACCCAACTCCTGTGATTCACTCCAGGTGTTCCGGGTCCGAACGTTCAGGTCACTGCCTACCTCTGTTGGTTTTGGTCCACATGACGACATGAAGAAGACCCAAACACGACCACACCACAGGACTGCCGACGAGGCCGAACCCCGTGGCACCACCACCCCAAGGTAGGTCAATATATGCCACTCCGGTGGCGTCTGGGATTGGGTGGTGAAAACGAAAGGTTTAACTGTAGATGTTCCCTTAAATCCAATTCATTGATACACCCAACGGTTCACACCTTCGACTGACTAGGGCTTAGATATGAGGCTTTGATGATCGGAACGCCGGACTAGGCCTCCAGGGAAGACACCAAGGTTAACCTTTGTCCATCTGTTTTAGAGTGGGAAAACCACTCCCAACCAAACGGATTTTTTCAGGTGACTTCAACTCCCATCCTGGGTAGGTCACCAACCCCCCAAAAGCTTCACGCCCCTCTTCCCCTTCCCCCAAACCTTTTGCATCGCTCCTCATAGGCCAACTCCGGACTCCATTGGCTCGCTGCGCGCAGGCTAGGGACCTCGCGTGACGCCGAAGAAGCGCCGGTGGCGCCGGCGTGACCTCCGGGGCCCGAAATCTGTGTGGTGGCAGGGTGAGGAGCCATAGGTGGGTGATGCTGGGTCACGAAGAGGTGGCGATAGCTTTTGACAAATGCCTGCACTTGTAGGCTGGTTGGGGGGCTGTGTCTGGTGCAAGGGGAGGTGCACCCAAAAGGGATCCGACCCAAAACACTGAACATTTGCAGTGCCCCAAGGTAGGCAAACATGTATTAGTCTGGGGGATATGGGGCTGAGGCAGAAAGAGCCACCTAGATTCACCTAGCACTTGAGTGGTCACGAGGCACAACAGTAAATCCCCTTTGTGCCAAGTCTCCACGGGTGGAGTTTGAAAACGGGTACCCTAAAATTGCCTAAAGCTTCAAAATTGATTCTGAACGTTGGGTTTGAAGTTGGCATCACATGTCTGAAACTCCTTGATTGATGCCACTGATGCCACGAGTTCCCTGACTTCTCATTGAATAAAAACATTTTTGGTGGCACATCAGAACTCCCTTCGCGCCCCGATTCGCCCCAGCGTCCGCATCCGCAAAGGGATCTTCTGGCAGGTCCACGCCCAGGCGAAAGAGCATCACCTGTGACTCGACGAGAAGGAGAGTCCAGCGCCCCAAACACGAGGTCGCTCTGGAAAAAAAACCTTGAGGCCTTGAAAACCAGATCTGGGTCGGCCAAGCTGCGGGGACTTCAAAATGTCCAGGATAGCCAACGCGAGCTGTGGGGACTTCAAAATGGGCCTCTTTTCCGACGCGGAGAATCCAGATTCAAGATGAACATCCATTGGTTGGAGGACGTTGTGGAGGCTTTGGGGGGTGCTTTCAGAGACGCAGCATCATATTGATGCAGGAATTCCTATAGAAAACGACCCTGACATACCCCTAACAAGCCATGCATGAAATAATTGCCTAATATTGCCTACATTGGGTTGATTTTAGATAATTTGTTTTAAGGGTCAATGTACGTAAATATTCCATTGTGTACCAACATGTACCAACTATGAACAAACTCGAGCTTGCCAACTCAGTGAGGAGTGCTCCGCGGTAAAAACACAAACAATCATAAACAATCCACATGAGCCTCACATAGTCCCCTAATCTTCAAAAAGGGGTTGCCACCAACTGCATCCCGATGTTGATCCATGTTCTTATCATGTTTAGAATATATGGGGCGCACCGCGGCTCCTTCCTTTCTTCCACACCGGCGCACCGCTGCTCGCCACACGAGTATCGCTTGCCTCTGCCAAGAGGTGGACATAGTTGTAGCGTGGAAACCTCGGTGTGGCACGTGCTTTTGCGCCGCTGCGCGGCGCAATGGCGCAGTGTTGGCCAATCTCCAAAGCAAAAGATCAATGCTGAAAGCAACCAACATATACCCATCACCAAAGTGGCACTGATTGAGACTGGCTCAGGGGAAAAAAACAACTCGTTATCTGATGTGACTCTGGTGTGGGACATGACATGTGACCCTCCTAAAACGGCAGTTTGACCATGGCACCTCTTTGGCATCAAGTTCCCAGTTGGCTTCAGTGTGCTCAGCCGCTCCAGCTGCTTCCCCACGGGAAAGACCCGCGTCCTGCGGTGCCAAAACGAGCAAGAACTTCAAGACATTCTGTTGAGGAACAACCTCCAAGAGACCCAACGCGAGCAACATGGTTTTACAACATGGTACCTGGATGTATCTGGTATCTTCATACATCTTAGATCTTCAGAGCTCAGGTTGCTTGACCTCTGGCTTCTGCCACGACCAAAAGCGCCTCCACGTGGCG